ATCATGTGACTCACTGGTAAACTTTTCATCGTATTTTAATTCTAGTTCAATCGGAAAAGTTTTTAGAATCGTCTTCATCTCGGCCTAAATTGTACAAAATATCAGTTTAGCGAGCGTTAAAAGCATACATTGAAAGAGGATTTTTGGACGAACCCTAGCTTCTTATTCATCTACTTCCATTTCATCTTAAGAATCGCGCACAAGATTTTTTCCTTTCCTACGCTTTGTTGGTCATTGATCCTCTTCAAATTCGATATCTTGAAGGTCAGATGAATGTCGGTGACGCAAGCCATCGTTTTCCTGACTAAGTATATTGTTATACGATTGTAATTGGCCAACGTCTAGCCGTAGGTCACGCAACTCGCCATTTGCATTATCGAGTTGCCGATTTAATTCGTCGATTCTTCCCCGTAAGTAGGCATTTTCTTCTCGGAGATCATACGTTTCTAAAAAAACGTTAAAGTCGACCAGAACTCTAAAATGAATACAAAAGTCAATTGTAGCTCACCATTTACATCTCTAGTCCAATTACTACTATAAGGTTCACGTATAATTGGCGTTAATTCTCTCCTATACGGTTCGGCGGTGCGTACATTGCTCCTATACGGTTCGGCGATGCGTACATTGCTCCTATACGGTTTGGTGGTGCGTGTAATGGGCGTTAATTCCCTATGTACATTGCTCCTATACGGTTCGGCTGTGCGTGTAATGGGCGTTAATTCCTATGTACGGTTACATTATGAATTGGTGGTACCATCCTGCTTTGTTGCGAGTACAAGCTGGATGGTACCACTAAGCGAAATGGCCCATTATTTTCCGAAGCTTCTGGTATCGACGTTTGTTTTTGAGTTTTGATAGAACCGGAACCGGAAGCTGCGGATTAATGTTTAAACGTTTGTTTTTGAGTTTTGATAGAACCGGAACCAGAAGCTGCGGATTCCTGTTTCGACGTTTATTTTTGAGTTTTGATAGAACCGGAACCGGAAGCTGCGGATTCCTGTTTCGACGCTTGTTTTTGAGTTTTGGTAGAACTGAAACCGGAAGCTGCGGATTCCTGTTTCGACACTTGTTTTTGAGTTTTGATAGAACCGGATCTGGAAGCTGTGGATTGTTGTTTCGATATCGACGTTTGTTTGGGAGAATCAGAACTTACAAATTCCTGTGAAGAAGTTTGTTTGTGAGACTCTTGACGACTTTTTTCGACACTTTTTTTTCCAGATCGTTTCATTCTTTATAGAGATTTTAATAAACAGAAGAATAGTAAAATTAGTAAATAAAGTAAAACTTTCTTTCAAAATGACGAAAAATATTGTTCGATTTATATAAAAGTTA